TGTAATTAGGTATTTTTGTCATGACTGGAGTCCAGAGCGAAGGCTGCATAGTGGAGTAGACCTTGGGGGAGGGATTGTAAAACAATGAAAGAATTTTACTTTTCCAATAGGTTAGTGTACTGCGAGGGGGGAGAGTTGAGAGGTGAGAAAAACGCAACAATGAATGAATAGAAGTCCAGAGTCTCTGTAAATTTTCATTGAAATAAATAATAAAAATAAAAACCAACCAAAAAAAAAAACCCTACATGGTCAGACATACCACCCTATATGCACCTGCAGCTGCTTTACCAGTTGTTGAGTCTGATGTTTGTTATAACACTCACAGACTTACAGTTGTGAGGTTTATTAGAGAAATATATTGGAGAGTAAAGGAGGCAAAGAATATTTTACAGTGCAAGTTCAGGTTTAATCCACAGTCTCAAGCTAGATTAACAAGGAAGGTACTGTTCCTTAATTAGTGAAAATATAGGTGCAGCTCTACACCACAAATGGAAGAAGCTTCTGGTCTCCTCATTCATCCAGCAGACTTTATCGCTGAGAAGTCAGAAGTCAGTTAGTTGTTATTGGTGTTTTTTTTTCCCATCCATCAAGATAAACCTTTACTTGTGAACTGTATCTCCAGGGTTTCCCTGGTTACACCTTGCTACAGTCTCTTCACAATCTCCCCAGTACCGTCACTGTTTTTCACAGTGTGAAAAGCTCTCATATTGGCCCCACAATTGTTGATGATTTGCAAGACCATATATCCACAGTTAAGATAGCCAGAGATCCAATTAACCCCAACAGAGGCTAAAACAATGGCTAGAAAAAACAGTTTTCAATGGTTCAGACACACCACTGACTCTCTACTTTTCCAGGTAGATATCTTTTTTCTAAAGACCAGCCCTTCCTGAAAAAAGCCCAAAATATGTGAGATGGAGGGAGATTGTTGACACTGGCAACATTATTGGACAGAGTAGAACTGCCCCTATGAGTTTCCACAATTGTATTTTTCTGTGGTAACAAACTGCTTTATCTTTCATCCATAGAATGAAAGTTTTTCCATGGAATAACTGGAGGGTTTGAACACCAAATTACTGGTTAGCGACTAAGCATTTAATCAGCTATGCTCTGTCACTCACTCATTCATTGCCATCACCAAACCAGAACTGACTCATAACTGATCTTCCAGTGGATTTTCAGTAGCTGTAAATATGATAGGAAGACATTGTCAGTCTTTCTCCCATGTACCAGCTGTGAATTTGTACTTTGTGCCTTTTTTACCCATTTGGCCACAAGAACTCCCTACTTTGCCCCCAAGATGCCTTAAAATTGTGATTATTCCTTAAGAATTGATACTTTTGAATTTTGGTGGTGGGGTTGAACAATATTGTATATACCTTGGACTGCCAGAAGAACCAACAGATCTGTCTTGGAAAAAATCAAGATAGTGTGTTCCATAGAGATATAACAATGTCTCTCTGTGGAGAGACAGCAGACATACTTGGGCATGATACGACAAAAGGCTGTCGCTATGTACCTTAGAGGTGATTTTGACTCTATTTTAATAGTGACCTTCTGAACCTTGCAGTATCCTGACACAGTCTGGCCTCTGACACACTTGATCCCTTTGCCACAGTCACAGTGTCCATCCATCTTGTTGAGGATCTTCCTCTCTTGCACTGACCTTCCAGCTTTCCAAAAATGATATCCTTCTCCTTCTTCAAGGACTGGCCCCTTCTGGCAACATGCTAAAGTGTGTGAGACAGAGTTTTACCACTTAAATTGTTCCATTCACTTTGTCTTTTCATTCCTTTGAGGATCTTTTCTTCACTCATCCTTACTTTTCCAAGCCTGATGTCCTTTTTTAGCTAATAGTCCGTCCTGTTAATATCTAAAATATGTGAGAGGAAGTCTTCCCATACTTGTTTCTAAGGAGCACACTAACTAGACTTTCTCCAAGAGACACTGAAAGAAGTCATGTCCTTTTAATCTTATTCTTGGCCAAAAGCAATCTACCAGTGGTTGTGGATTAAGACCTGTTTACATTCAAGACCTGAATGTTAGTGGATGACCTATATCTCACAGGTCACTTGAAGGTAAAATTCTCTTTGCCATAGTTTTCCATAAAAATGCTTCCATAAAGTGTAAAAATTCTCCAGAGCTCTACTGATTCAGTGGCTATAGAAACTGGCTGATAAAGGTCATGAGTTTAATCCCAGTAGCCAGCCATTCCTTCAGAGAAGGACATGACATTTGTGTATAAAGATTTGTAGCCTCGGAAATCCCATAGGGCAGTTCTACTCTGTCCATTTAAAGATTCCTTTAAGTTGGAATTGACTCAGTGGTGATAGGTTTTTATGAACATTCTTAGCAAAGATAAAGATTACTCTCTTCTGAAAAAGAAAATGTTATTAAATAACATTTTAAAATTAGAGGAAGATATTTAGCTCAAGATACTGACAATTTAAAAATTATGTTCCTATCTAAAAGTACTTTTTTTCCTCCCTCCCAACAGGAATTAAAACCTGATACAGTTACTAAATCTGCTCTTGAAGATGATATAAACTTTGAAAACATCTGCAAAAAGGTATATTTTTAATAGTTTGATTGTGAAATGTCTTCGTATTACTTGTATGATTTTTATATGACCTTAGTCATTGAAGAGAAAATAGAGAAAGAGTAAGTTATTAATATATTTTTACTTCTCACTTGAGCTCCAGAATTGTTTTTGGGTGCCATCATGCTCCAGATTATCTACTGAAAATGTTTATGGTAATTTATTAATTTTGCTGTGACAACACATCCCTCAGTGTCCTTAATGGTTTATTGATTTTACTCTGTTTCATGTGGTGCATAACAGTTAGTCCATTAGTCCATCTTACTCAGTTTGAACACAATTCGTTACCAGCAAGTTGGAGCTCATTTATAGCTGCTGTCCAGCAGATTTTCAAAGGTGCTGAATTTCATGTGAAGACATTTCCCATCTTTCTACCACAGAGCTGCTGATATATTCTTGCCATCTTAGGTTAGCAGTGTAATTTGTTAGAACTGTTTTGTTGAGGTGTGATTGAATTTAGTATGATTCATAACTACCCTATGAACAATACATCTGAAACTTGTCCCATTCTGTGCCATCCTCAGCATCTCTGACACACTTGAGCCCATTGATACAGTCACTGTGTCAACCTTTCTGGTTGAGGGTCTTCCTCTCTTTCATCAATCCTTCACCTATATAAGGGTAATGTCCCTCTCCAAGGAATAGCCTCTCATGACATGTCCAAGGTTTAAGAGATGAAGTTTTGCTGTTCTTACCTCACATATGTTCTTTGGCAATTCATGGGATACTTACTCAGTGCACTTCTCCAACACCATAGCTCAAAGACATCAGTTATTTTTTGGTGATCATTATTGTTTATCCAGCTCTCAGATGCATAACAAGTGATTGAAAAGATCATGGCCTGAATCAGACTGACATTAGTCTTCAAATTGACACCGTTGCTACTTTGTAATTTGAATTGGTCCCTGACAGCAGACTTACCCAGTGTGGTGAGTTATGATCTCCTGACTGCTGGTACCAAGGGTGTTGATTGTGGATCCAAGGATGATTAAGTAATTAATAATTACAGTCTTTCCTCCATCTGTCATGATGTTGCCGAAGGATCCAGTGGTGAAAATTGTTGTTTCCTTGATGTTGAAAGCCGTATCTTTGATCTGCAGAAATGCTGGAAGTTCTTCTCACTTTCGGCAAGCAAGATTGCATCATCTTTGTAATTCAGGTTGTTGAGATGAGTTCCTCTGATCCTGAATCTACATTCTTCTTTTTATAGTCCAACTTTTCAAATTATTTACTCAGCAAGCAAAGGCCCAAAAAGTTTAGTAGCTCTTCTCCACCTGTTTCAGTGAAACAGACTATTTCTTGTTACAGAATGCTTGGTTTCAAATAAATGCTTTCCAATTTGTGCAACTAACAAGTGTCTCAACTATATTTCATGAGAACAGCTGTCCTTCAAAAATGTCCTTCCCACTAGAATACTCATCAACATTCATTTTAATGCCGCATTCATCATCGTTAAATGCAAATTCAATCAATTTCTCTTTACTGTCATACCACATATCATCATCATCATTACCGGCAGGATCATCAATATTTTCAGTCTTCATCCTCAGACGACAATATCACATGCTTCTTCCGACGTTGAGTTTCTAGAAAGTCTGTGTCACTGTCGTTGCTAAGAGTCTTTTTCAGCATCGGATCCTTCCGAAACAAGGCTTTGATCATCATCAGTGAGGTCGTAGTCGTGTAATACTTTTCTCATCTTTTTGTTGTCTTTTCAGCAAAAGTCCATTTTAGCGATTAAAAGTAATCCTACATACAGCGAGAGATATATACTTATACACTCATAGTAATACCGAAACAAAAATTTTTACTAATTTATGAAAAAATAAAAAGTAAAATTAGCCGACGGAGTAAGTACACAGGTGTCAGTGTGTGTAAATTGCCAGTGTGTGATAATAATATAAAAGAATAGAAAAATATAAAGATACTTACAGAATATATAGTTCGTCCTCACAGAAACACACTTCTCAACAGAACTAAAATATACGAAACGTTTGATACTATGACTCTTACAGCCGTCATTTGTCTCTGTAGGCGAAAATATTCCGAATTGTTAAACATGAAAAATCACACAGGAAACAATTGATCTGTTATCTGAAATGTTACATCTTTTTTTCATTGTATTACCGAATAATTAACAAATAAATGCATTAGTACACTTCGTACAAATGATGTTCCATTTTTTATTAATTGAAACATGCAAGACGGCTATAGCCGTCATTTGCAGTAAAGTATTACCAACTGACATAATTCAACTCAGAGATGTTGAACTTGTTCACCCAGTCTAAGTCACAAAATTTCGAGTTAGAATAGCAACAACAAAACATCCTTATTACTATTCTTTATAGTCAACCTGTAAAAGATCTGTCTAACAGTGTTTCTAACGTAAGAAACTACTGATAAAAATCCTTACATGAAATGTCATTATTATGCGGCAAAGTCAGAGCATTTAACCTTATCATTTTATTCATTTGAACTTTACCACTTCTTTCATACTCTGTACCGTGTTTCATTGCTATTCAATTTACAAGTACTTACATAAGCTTACACGATACTTAACATGTTCAAATACTTTTAGGATTAATTGGTTTTTTAATTACTTTTTTGCTTTCATTTTCATGGATTTCTGCTCTCATCTGCATATATCCTTTGTTTTAACATGTACTTTTCTTGTTCACTGATAAACTGGAAATTTAAATTACTGATTTTATACTTTTCTTCCTTTGTATTTACGTTCTTATGCTAGAAACTCTCTTATAAGCACTATCTTGTAAGTTTTGTCATATTTTTTCCTTTGAGTTTAAAATATTTATAATTTCATTAAAACTTCCTTTGATATTAGGTTTACTAAGAACTGTACTGTTTGATTTCCAAGTAGAGGTTTTTCAGTTATGTTATTTTTGTTAGTATTTTCTTGTTAATTCTGTTAGAATCTGTAAACATACTTTGTGTAGTATTTAAAATTTATGAAAATTTGTGTCATGGTACAGAGTATAGTTTATCTTGCCAGAGCACACACACTCTATAAAAGAATACTTGGTGGTGGTTTGTTGGTGGTGAGTACTGTGTAAGGGAGCCATTTGAGTGGACTCTGCAGTGGGCGTTCAGAGACAGTAAATCACTTGGGAAGAAATTGCCTGTCTTTCTCCCAGCACCTGTTAGATTTGAACCATGTACTTTTGATTTGGCGGTAAAACCCCTTACCCCTAAGGCACCAGATCTCCCCTTTGGTGGTAGTTTTTCATAGTTTATTTCATAGTTGATTTCTTTTTTCCTCTCTAGCTACTAGTCCACTCATCAGTAGTTCATGGCTGTAATTGTTAATTACCCTCACAGAAATGTATGAAGTTCTTTAATATCAATCTCAAGTTGAGACTGTTTGAGGGATAATTTAAGCTTTAAAGAACTGATTGAATTGGATGATGTTAAAGTGCTTTTCCAGACTTAAAATGTATTGATGCTGCATTTATGTAAATTAGAACTCATTTCTTAATTAACTAATACTATTTTTGTAAACAACAGTTGAGTTGCTAATGACTTATGGCAACTTCATGTACTTGAAACATTGCACAGTTTACAGTCACCAGTGGGTTGGTTATCCCACTCTTGTGACTGTTATGCCAGTTTGTTTCATTGTGGGTCTCTCACACTCTTCTTGCTTCTCTGCTTCACCAAACATGGTATTTTTACTAATGATTAATCCCTTTGGTAGGTTTTCCAAAGCAAGTGAGTTGGACAATAGTCCATTATGATTCATACGAAATACAGATTATTAGACTTTTCTTCCTACTTTCTTAGTCTGGGAGCTTAGTTGATGCTTGTCTTGTCCATCACAGATGAAATAATCCTTTTAGTATTTTAAGTACTCTTAGCATGGATTCTAGCCTTAAAGCTACATGTAAGCCAGCACATAGTATGTTCAGGACTCTTCTTTGACTTTGGTTGTTGAAAAATAAGATAATCAGATTTTAAAGAAGATAGATTAACAAGGACTGAAGTCTATAATATGGATTGAAGCTCGACATCAAGAAGACAAAGATTCTCACCACTGTGCCAATTGGCAGCACCATGATAAGATGGGGAACAGATTGAGTTTGTTAATAATTCCAGGTTGCTTGGGTCCACAAGCAATACTCTTGACACCAGCAATCAGTAAATCGAAAGACAAGTTGAATTAGGTAACTGTCCTGTCAGGGACCCCTCCAGAGTGCCGAAGATGCTCCTGATTCAGGCCATAGTCTTTGCAATTACTTGCTATCTGTATAGTGACCAAAAACAATAGAAGAAGAATTGATGCCTTTCATTTGTGGTGCTGGAGAAGAATATTGAGCATACCGTGGACTGCCAAGAGAACAAACAAGTCTTTCCTGGAGGGGGTAAAACCATGCTGCTTCTTTAGAGGCAAACATTTGGAAGCTGCATCTCACATACTCTTGGGCATGTTGACAAGGAGGGACCAGTCAACAACAACAACTTCCTGCAAACAAAAAAGACTTGAAGTGCTTTCTGATGAAACTCAAACACTGCAGGCTTAAATATAGATTACACCTCAACATAAAAAAAAAATTCTAACAATCCATCCTAAACACAACATCCTGATAAACAGAGAAAAGAGGCAGCATCTATGGAAGCAGCAGTGAAGAAATAAGTTGTTTTCTACATTTGTCAAATCTGCTGCAAAAGCTCCTTTTAAAATGGTAAAAAGCAAAGCAAACACTTTGAGGATTCAGGTATACCTGACCTGAGCCAGTATTTTCAGTTACCTTATATGCATGCACAAGCTGTGTAATGAACAATGAAGACTAAAGAATTTATGCTTTTGAATTACCGTGCTGGTGAAGAGTATTCTGTACTATGAACTGCCCAAAGAACAAGCAAATTTACCTTGAAAGAAAAGCAGTCAAATACTCTTTAAAAATGAGTATGGCAGGACTTTGTCTCACATGATTTGGGCATTTTATTAAGAAGGG